AGTTTCATAGATTAACTGAACCTGAATTTTATTAGTTAAGCTTGAGCTAGGTTTCCCCAAATACTCAATTAAAACAGGGTAATATTGTAATTGGTTTTTGTTTGTTTTTCTTTGCATGTCTGTCACTACTAGTACCATCATAAATGTCATATACTTAGCAATAAATAACTTTTATAGTCAAACTAATGGTAACTGGGTGTATTTTTTCTTCTCTACTTCCCCTTCCCCACTTGCTCTGCAGCAGTGCTTCTTTTACCTAAGCCAAAGATCCCTGTGAAGCCCAGAAATACTGTGGGGTCTCCTCATCAAGAGGCTATCAGTAGTACTAGGACAGTAAGGCAAAAGATTGGAACGTGCTGAGTTTAAGACACATAAGGAGATCAGCTTGTGTAGGCTGATTGACCCAGTTTGGCTCAGACGTGCCCTAATGAACCGAATGCTGGCCCATGAGGGTGTCAGCTGGATTCAGAAGTATTCTGTTCACCTGTGTACTTGTGTCTGACTGCACTTTATTGTTACCTTAATGAACTGATTCCTGGCATATGAGGGTGTCAGCCTGTACATGCTGATCAACCTGGCCGGGTCAGGCATGTCACATTAATCTGTGCGTGTGTGTATGTATTTGACAGATTTGGTGGCTGGAGGAACCCAGCCCCAATGAAACTGAGTCCTACAAGATAGCTCCATTGGGGGTGAGGACCTGCAGAAAGGAAAGATACAGCTCCATATAGAAACACAGGTAACACAAGCAGCACATTAATTAAATTACAAAGACCCTAGAAACGTATCCCTAATAAATGAGCATACCCCAAAGTGATGAGCAAATCTGGTAACACCTAAGTGCAGGACTTTGCACTTGTCCCTGTTGAACCCCATGAGATTTCTTTTTGCCCAGTCTTTTAATGTGTCTAGGTCACTCTAAATCCTAGACCTACCCTACTACTACCCTCAGCTTGGTGTCATCTGTGAACTTGCTGAGGGTGTAATCTATTCCATCTTCCAGATCGTTAATGAAGATACTGAACAAGACTGGACCCAGGACCGACCCCTGGGGCACTCCACTTGATAGTGACTTCTAACTAGACAATGAATCATTGATCACTACCCGTTAAGCCTGACAATCAAGCCAGCTTTCTATCTACCTTACAGTGCATTTATCCAGCTCATACTTCCTTAGCTTGCTTGAAAGAATGCTGTTTGAGATGGTATCAAAAGCCTTGCTGAAGTCAAGGTATATCATGCCAACTGCTTTCCCTGCATCCACAAATCATTGATGACTACTCTTTGAGTGCTCCTTTTCACTTAGCTGTGCATGTGTCTCACCACTAATAAATTGCTTTATTTTTCAGTAACAGGGACTGAAACTCTATCTTGATCTTACAACAAGCTAGAAAATATCTGTAGTGCTGCTAAAATACGAATCTCCAAATCTCATGCCTCCTGGCTTAGTTGCCTAATTTCCCCATTCTGAATACTGACTAGAATTAATTTTCCCCTGAAATAGTAGATATTGACTACTATTCACAGCAAGTCACCTTATGCTTTAGGACTTGATTTTGTAAGTCCTTTTGCACTGTTCAGCAGGAAGCATAAGGTGCTGCATTCCAGGTGTGAGCAGAAGCTATATGTAGGTGCTAGTGCTAAGTATAGAAAGCTGACCTGAAAGCAAATCTAAAGAGTCCGATTGTCTTCAGTGAGATCTGGATCAGGTCCAAAGTAGTTCTGTATAAAGGGCAAGAATAAGAGGCAAGTCCTTTTCATACCTGCATCCTTATATAGTACAGGCTAAAAAAAGAGGCAGTGGCACAGGGAACAATGAGTGTCCAAGGAGCTATATTGTGGCTGCCTTCATCCTACCAGGCAAGAGTCGGTCACGTAACAGCCCTGTTAATACTTTGAATGCCTTCAAGAGACATTTGCATGTTTATCTTGCTGGGATCCTATGACCCCTGCTGACTTCCTACCCCTGGGGCAGGGGGCTGGACT